ATATCAAAATCCTTGTCCATTACCAAGTCTGAAATAAACTTTAATTTTTAAACAAAAGGTGCTGAAGGCATGTCTGTTGAAGGAAAAGACTTACTTTATGACGAATCTGTTAAATACACAAATATTTTACTTCGATATAATCAACGAAGATTAGGTTTACTTGAAGGGGCTCAGAGATTGGCTGAATGTAGTCGACTAATTAATCTGAGTATTGAAAATGAATATAATTTTCGGTCAATGGTCTCTCATGAAATTAAATATTTTTCAATGAGTACTAATTACTCGAGATGTTCAAACTTTTACGACAAAATTTTTAGAAAGAAGTGATTAAAAATGAATAATTTTTATAAAAATGTACATATTATCATTAGGGGTGCCAATTATATGGATATAAAATCAAAAATATGGACATAAAATATGGATATAAAATCCTGAAATATGGATATAAATATGGAAATAAACACTAAATATTGATATAAAATCCCAAAATATGGACCAAAAATAGTGAAAAGATATTTTAAAAATCAGTATTTTATGCAGAAAACAATAATTTTGCCTTTAAATTTGCATTTTAAGAGCATTCTAAAAGATTTTATGGATTTAAAATTTCTGTTAAAATTTTTTTTGAAAATAAATTTTTCCGAAAAATTTATGAAAAAATTTTTTGACCAAAAATTTCCAGAATTTTGAAAATTTTCACCAATTTTTACCAAAATTTAACAAAAAAGGAGAAATATTGATATAAAATATGGGTATAAAGGCTAAATATGGAAGAAATATGGAAAATATGGGCATAATTCCAAAATATGGAAAATATGGATTTTAAAGACCATTCTAGAAACTCTAAAACAAGCAAAAAACATGTTTTTCGTACATTTCACAGTCATAGGAATTCAGGAAAAAAATATGGATTTCCATATAATTGGCACCCCTAATTATCTTTTACCTCTTTATTTTGTTCAAGAATTCTTTTTAATTTAAAATTATTCGACATTGGATATAGTTTTTTTTAATACTTTTAGGAAGGAAAAAGGAGTGGGTTATACGAACCAAACTATTACCCTTTTGCCTAAAGGCTGTATGGCTTGGAGTTTTTTAATTTTTATTTAAATAAAATTAAATTTTTTCCAAAAAACGCTGAAGACTTGTCTGCTGAAAAAAAAGAATTATTTTTAAATGAACTATTAAATTTACAAAAGTTTTCAACGGCGATTAGGTTCAATTTAAGGGGGTAAAAGATTAGATGATTAATCGAAGTATTGAGAATGAACATATCGGTAATTTGTTCACATCCCACTCCTATTTGTGTCTCAGATTAATTTCCTTTTTATTTTTCGCTGCCTCGAAATGGTCAAATTTCCTACATTATAAATGTTAATTTTTGTTGATAGTGATCAGATAATGATTAGATATTGAACCATCTCAGAGCGATACAATATCGATTAATGAGAAATGACTTCGAAAACTGGAACGAGTATATTTAATAATGATCACTATTTGCTCGTTAAGCCTTGAGCAAGCCAAAAAATTATAAAAGGAAAAATTCCGTCATATCTCCCAGAAACCAATTCGGACAAACGATATGCCATTCGAAAGAGCTCACCGAGCTGAGTCGAACGACACCAAAATTAGCTTCGGGACTCACCTGTGGGCCGAGATATAGGTCCCCGAAAATCGAAAAACCAAAGGGGGGACCAAGCACTTTTTTGGAGTAAAAAATTCGAATATGCAAATTATACCTCATTCGAAAGAGCTCGTCGAGCTGAGTCGAATGACACCAAAATCAGTTCGAGATCTTGATTCTGAGCCGAGATAAAGAGGTCAAAATGGTCAACGTAACCCTATGGGCGTCGGCGAGGCGCTTGTGCAAAACCCCGCGCTTCGCGCGGGGTTTTGCGGCACGCGCCTCGCGGGGAGTCTACGGGCGCTGGGTCTGGGCTCGTAACATAAACCTATTCCTACCTCCCTTGCTCTGGACGTATTTGGGGCCTCCGTAGCAGCAAAAATCTCCACAGATGCCATAGGTAAGGAGCTAAAACAAATGGTCATAACTTTCTCAAATCAAGTCAGATTTCGTTGATTCTGGTGTCATTCGACTCAGCTCGACGAGCTCTTTCGAATGAGGTATAATTTGCATATTCGAATTTTTTACCCCAAAAAAGTGCTTGGTCCCCCCTTTGGTTTTTCGATTTTCGGGGACCTATATCTCGGCCCACAGGTGAGTCCCGAAGCTAATTTTGGTGTCGTTCGACTCAGCTCGGTGAACTCTTTCGAATGGCATATCGTTTGTCCGGATCGGTTTCTGGGAGATATGACGGAATTTTACCTTATAAAATTGAAATTTTTTAACATAAAATCCTCAAATGTCCAATCCTCAAAGGTCAGATCTTAAATAGTGATCGGTAAAATCGCATTTGCAGGATCCTGTATCAGGATTGGGTTTTAAAATTTCAAACAGGACAGGACCCTGCAGGATTAATCCTGAAAATCCTGAAATCCTGCCAATCCTGTCATTTTTTTCCAGGATCCTGTCCAGGATTTCAGGATTTTCAAAAAATCTCAAAATTTCACAAAATTTGCCTGCGGCGCTGAAAATCAAAATTTTTGGCTAATATGTCCCAACTAAATCTTCGCTGAAAAAAGTTGTACTACTAAATATACAGTAACTACATTCAACGATTTACCTAACTCTAAATACTCCCTAATCTGTCCAAATCCTCTGATATAACATTCAACTTCCCTTTACAGCGCCGCAGGCAAAACTTTTGGAATTTTGGTGCCAGATTTCTTCCTTTTTAATCGCCGCAGGGGAAAATTTTGAGGATTTCGGAAGGCCAGTAAGACAAAAATCGTCCTTTTTCAGCGCCGCAGGCAACAAAATAAAATCCTGAACCGTGAAAATTAACAGGACGGATCCTGTATCAGGATTGGGCAAAGTGAAAAGATCGAGCTTTAATCTTTACTGAAAGTTATGTAAATTATTGAAGAAATGAAAATTAATATTCTAAATTTAATTAAAGCATAAAATAAAATTTTAAATAAAATAAACCATACAGAAAATATTTTTTTGTCCAGTTAATCAAATAAAAAAAAGTTCAATCTAAACTAAACAAAAATTTATTTTGGTAAATTATTTTTAAAATTAAAATTCTTTAATTTTTTCCCATTTTCTATATTTGGGTTGCTAAAAATAATTATATTTTGAGTTTATTTATTTAAAAAAAATAAAAATTCTTCACGTTCTGAAGAAATTCCATTAAACCCTTCTTTCGTAACAACACTAAAAACAAAATACAAATCTAAATTCTCTAATCTTTTTTTGCAAAAAACTGAAATGAAAATCCCAAAAAACTTTTTTTGAATGGTAAAAGTGGCCAAATAAAAAGCCAAATGTTCCTGCCAAATTAACTCATTATTTTTATAAAAAAATCAAATGAATTTATTTAAAATTAAAATATTCTCAATTTTAATATTCTTTTGCTTAAATTTAATTTTGGGGCAAATAATAAATAAAAATGGGAAAGGCGATGAAATTACTGGAAGACTCCCTGGACAAAATTTTGATATTAATTTTAAACATTATTCTGGTATTTTAAATGGTTCCGTGACTTTTGCGCCGAGAACATTTGCGCCGCGACTCATGCGCCGAGTGACTTTTGCGCCGCGACTTTTGCGCCGGGCGACTTTTGCGCCGCCACTATCATTAAAAATCTATCAATAACTACAGCCGGGGCTCACTTTAGAAGAGTTGTCGGATAGTTGGAAATCTTCGGATATCCGGATCCGATATCCGAACTGAAAATTTCGGATATCCGGCATTTTTCGGATCCGGATTTCTTAAACAATGGCGGCGCAAATGTCGCGGCGCATGAGTCGCGGCGCAAAAGTCGCGGCGCATGAGTCGCGGCGCAAAAGTCGCCCGGCGCAAAAGTCGCGGCGCATGAGTCGCGGCGCAAAAGTCGCCCGGCGCAAAAGTCGCGGCGCAAATGTTCTCGGCGCAAAAGTCGTGATACCTTTTAAACTATGATCGAACCTCCCTCTAATGTATATGTACTTACAGACCTGAAAAAACTGTATCTTTAATGTGGTTAAACTTAAATAGGGGATAAGGATTAAGGAGAACCTCCACCACATAACCAACTTTTACAGAATTAAAAATAAAATGATCACTAGTATCTAATCACTAATCACCGATCACTAGTATCGGGTTTAAATAGTGTATCTAGAGTGATTGGGCCTTAACATATCCGACGGTACAGAACAAACACTAAAAATTTCTGTACAGTGATAGGATACCGATGAAAATTTCTTGTTATTTATTGTTATCTACCGGTATTACGGTCGCTAGTACGATAAGAGATACGGTATGGTAGAAATTTCGATCACTAATATCGAATATTGGGCGTTTGGAGGGTGGTCTCTGAAAGTTTTAATTATTTATGCTTTAATTAATTAATTTAAGGTTATCTTCAAGTCTCAAACACCAAATTTTTCCATTATGTCTTCACAAAATCGCAAAATAAACCAGATAATGATCCTTTGGTAAAGTTTGATTACTTTCTCTAAAACAGTCATCGACTCCTTTAATTCATACTTTCTATGTAAAAATCAAATAGAGTTCGGTCAATTTTTCGATATTTTTTTCGCTAAATAAGGTCAGATATCGAAACAGCAACATACCGAAAAAATACTATTTTTCGATTTTTCAGATAAATTTAAAAATTTTATATGAATGATAAATAGTTGTCACTATAGTTTAAAGAGATTAAGATTTATTAAATGGGATATTGGTGGATTTTGACAGTTTAAATGGAAAATAAGGGACTTGTATTTGACATCGATGAACCATTAGGGATATAAGTGGATTTTAAAGGATTAAATTGTATATCGGAGGATTAAGGAAGTAATTGTGGTATTGTGGGAGTAGGTCGATATTTTTCAATAATATCGAAAAGATATCGTACTGATCCTGGCTCCATAATCAAGGATTAATTTTTCATATGGGCTGCATGGATATCACATGGATATATCATCGTCTTGATATAAAAGTTGTGTCAGGTTTTAAATGAGTTTTTCAATTTTCTTCGGATGGGGTTTCGTGTTGAAAAAGAAGATTTTATATCTTGGAATTACTTTTTTCAATTAATTTAAATTTTAAGTTTATTTAAATTTGAAAATAGGTTTTATGGTTAAATGGTGGCCCTGGATGTTCTTCACTTCTTGGTTTATTTGCCGAATTAGGGCCTTATTTACTTTCAGAAGATGGTTCTAAATTAATTAGAAATCCTTATTCTTGGAATAACAAAGCTAATGTTTTGTTTCTTGAATCCCCTGCGGGGGTTGGATATTCTTATTCAACTGATGGAAATCTTACTACAAATGATGATGAAGTAAATAAATGAATGTCATTAACATCTGTCACTATTTTAAAATGCTTAAGAGAGGGTCAAAACAATGGAACGTTTGAAAAATTGTACCATTAAGGAGATAGGCCCAATTCCTCCCAGTCGGCTAAACTATTTCTCTGTGAAATTTAAAATAAGTAAATTACTAATTCTTATTCAAAGACAGCAAATTACAACTATGAAGCTTTAAAACAATTTTTCAACAAATTTCCTGAATATAAAGGACGCCCAACATTTTTAAGTGGTGAATCTTATGCTGGAGTTTATTTGCCAATGTTGGCTAATTTAATAATTAAAGGACAGAATAATTTTCCAATAAATTTGAAAGTAAAAAACGGATTATTACTATAATTTTTCTCAAAAAATTTTTTTCTCAAAAAGGGAGTGTTGATTGGAAATGGGTATTTCAGTCAACGCTTAAATATAAATACAATGCTAACATATGCTTATGGTCATGGTCTTTTAGATGAAGGATTATGGCATTCCTTTAGCAAAAAGTGTTGTAAAGGATGTATTGGTATATTTCTTGGATTTTGATTTCTAAAAATGGATCCAAAAAGCATTTTTATTCTAGTAATTAATAATTTAGATACCTGCGACATTTTTGGTTATGTTGGGACAAACACAACGTGTTTCAACTTTGTTTAATAAAATTTATAAAAATAATTTTTTAAATTTTTATTTAGGCTGTTAAGGTTTATCATGCATTTACTATTTGTATATCAAATCCCTATGATATTTATCGTAATTGTGGTAATTGGATTTTGCATAATACTTAAAGGCCTACAAATTTTTTGTATAGATAGTTCAGATTTAAGACAATCAAAAGCCTTAACAAAAAACAATTTGCGTGGAAAGTTTTCTCAAACACCTTTTTTGTTAAAAACTTTGGAAAATTTTTTAATTGACGTACGTTTTATGTATTAGGATAGCGTATTTACTCGATTAATTCCCCTCTCACGGATAATTCCCCATGCTACGGATGAGTTAAAACAATAATCCCCCTCCCCCAAATACTCTACTACACGTTCAAATTTTAAAACTCAAATAATTCCCCTCCCTTGAATAATTCCCCTTCCTACGGATGGTTGAATAAATAATTACCCAGGGGAATTAATCGAGTAAATACGGCAAGTAGTATTGTTATCATCAAAATAATCTGATAAGAGATAAGGCTAGATAAGAGTTCAGAACATTCCCATCTTTTTTCCTCTCCGTAAAATATCATAATAATCAGACTTTTCTTTAAAATTCCACTGCTTTTCATTATAACATCTTTGAAATTAAAATAATTGATATTAAAAAATTAAACTTAAATTAATACGATATCAAGCTTTCATTTATATTTATTATAAAATTTTTATTCAGGAAAATAAATCTGAGCATGAAAGTTATGATCCACCAATAGTTGAATGTATTAAGGGTATATTAGATAAAAAATTTTTTTATTCTTTTTACTATTTTAAGAAGATGTTTTAACTAATTATATGAATTTACCTAAAGGTTTTTTGTTAAATAATTTAATTAAAATAATTATATAATTAAATCAAAGTTCGAGAAGCATTACATATTCCAAAAAATTTAAATAATATTACATGGCATGATTGTAATGATGATCTAGATTATAGTGGACAATATGGTTAGAATAATTTTATTATTAATTTTTAAAGAAATTTATAAGAAAAAATTGTTCCTAACAGACTAAATATTTTCGGATAACCAGACTTTCCGCGTTTAGTATTTGAGCAGATAATGTCGCCTTAGGGATTTACTTAGACAAATAAATATTTACATTATTCAATTTAACCATTGAATCCCTCGATACCACACCCAAATCCCTCAATATTACCTGTGGCCCTAGTAAATCAACCGATATAACTCAAAAATCCCTTTTGCCATTTTGTGGGTTTGTGAGTTATGTAAAGGAGTTTGTTATTTATGGGGGAGCCCAAAAAAGGGTTGGCAAATCAAAGCAATAAACTGTGAGTAAAAATATAAAATTTAAACTTTTTAGCTGATATGGTAATATTCATGAAAAATATAATAAAAGCAAAAGTGCCAGTATTGTCATATTATGGAGATACTGATATTATTTGCAATTATTTGTTAGGCGAGAGATTTGCTACACAGCTTGGAATTAAAGTTTTTTTGTGTATTTTAAATTATAATTAAAAATATTCTTTCAGTTATTAACGCCAAAAAACCCATGGATGTTTGAAAACCAAATTGGAGGTACTGTAACTGAATATGAAGGATTTACTTTATTAACCGGTAAATTATTAAAATAAATAAAGTCGTCTCATTATAAAATGAACGAAATTAAAAATTGTCATTTAAAATGAGGGGTATTTTAATCAGTTCCCCCCACACATAGCCAAGTTATGTTGAACATAGTGTGTATTCCCATATATCGAGGCGAATTTTGAACCTATTTAAAAACCAAGAATGTAAGGATGAAATAAACGTCAAAAAAGGCGAAATTTGGAGAACGAAGGTAGTAAGAAATAACATCCATAAACAGACACTATTTAGATAAAGATATTTCATTGAAAATAATTTATATGTATATAAATTAATTTTTCAGTTAGAGGTGTTGGACACATGGTAAGGAATATATTTAAAAAAATATTCTTATTTAATTTTTATAAAACAAATTTTATTTTTAATAGGTCCCGCAATGGGCACCTGAAAGAGCATTGTATATTTTAACCCAATTTTTAAAACAGAATACCTTTTAATTGGAAAATGAAGAGAAGGGAAAGATGAGAATTTTTAAGAAATATTAAGCGTTGGATATTTACTGGGAATATTTATTTAATGGGAATTAAAATGGGAATTTTTGTTGGAATTTATTTAAATAACAAATTCTTTTTAATTATTAAATAATTTTGGTTAATTTTCGAGATTTGTTTATTTTATATATTGTTTTATATTAAAACAGGGCTTCTTGTATTGGAAAAATATCAAGAAGCTTAAGTACAAAAAGTTTAATTTGGAAGTTATGTGGCGGAAAATTTTAAAAACACTGCAAAATTACTTTCAAAGACGCTCACATTTTAATATTTTTCATCCAAATGTCTAGCGAAATTTTGAAAATTTTAAGCTTAAGATTAATTTTTAACCAAAATATGCATTTGTACTTACAAATAATTAAATTTGCAATTTCGTAAGTACAAGGGTCGATTTACAAGTACTGTACTTCCAAAATAATTTTATGAGGGTCATTCTTTTCCGTTCATTTTAGCCATAATTTTATTTTAAGCAGGAAATTCTTATGTTAGTTTAATTTTCTTCAAACCTAAATCTTTTTCAAAAATAAAATTTAATTAAATTATCTAAACTTATTTAATTTAAAGATTCCCTTTAAATTTCATTTTTCTCAATCTTCTTCCATATTAGCCTCAAATATTTTCTCTTCCTTTTCAGATAATTTTAAAACTATTTCATTGAGATTAGAAGAAATAAACTCTTCGATTTCATTAAAATTTTCATCATTAGTTTGGTCAAAATATTTTTTAAACTTCTCAAAATTCTTCTACAAATTCCAGACATTTTGATTAAAATTACATTAAACAATTTTAAATTTTTTGGCAGTTGTCGTCTATCTACATACATATGTCTATTTTCTAGCTATTAAAAAAAGTCATATCCTCATGATTGCGCCACGGCTATCCTCAATTGTCGTACCGCTACTATTTTAAATTATTTAATTTTTGGCAATTGTCGTCTATCTATATACAAACTATTAAAAAATTTTTATTTTATTTGGACAGCTTTTAATTTTATTAAAAAATCTTTTTCGTTCGAGAATTAAAATATACAATTTTGTATCTAAATATATTTAGTGGTTGGCTTTTTTATTGATAAATTTATTTAAATATTCTTTAAAATACCTGACTAATATGTAATAATTTCTAGATAATTAGCATTTTAGAGAATTCAAAATTTCCATTTAAAGCAATATTCACAGGTAGACAATACCGTATTTACTCTATTAATTACCCTCCATATAGCCTATAAACGGCATAAATAATACCGTGTCCGGTAGTTTCGTCAGAGGTTAGGGTTGTTTCGTCAGAGATGAGTTTCGTCAGAGGTTCTTTTCGTCAGTAAGGCTCCCTTTTCAAAAATCTAATTAAGCGTCGGTGTTATGACTTATGCTAGGTTATTTGTTTCTGGGTCGATTTAGACAAATGAGGTGTCTTTCGAAAGAGCTCTGAAAAGCGATTTTTGTGGTGAAAAATTCGAGTATACAAATGCAGCTCATTCGAGTCAGCTCGGCGGGCTGACTCCTGCTCGACGGTGTGATACCTCCCTGTGCTTTTTCAGTATTCAGGAGTCTTTAATTCGGTCCCGGAATGTCGGATAAACTTCTTCCACAACTAATTCGACTCAGTTTTTAGAGCTCTTTCGAATGATACCTCATTTATCCAAATCGATCCAGAAACAAATAACCTAGTATGTGTCATAATACCGCCGTTTTATAGAATTTTAAAAAGGGAGCCTTACTGACGAAAAGGACCTCTGACGAAACTCATCTCTGACGAAACAACCCTCTGACGAAACTGACCTCTGACGAAACAACCCTTTGTCGAAACTAATTCTGACGAAAATGTCCTCTGACGAAACTAACCTCTGACGAAACTACAGAGCACCAATAATACTAGGAGTATAGCAAAATTCCCTGCAATTTTAAGTCAAAAAAGCTTTCTCTATATAAATATTTTTAAGACAATTCGAAAACTAAAAATGCCCTCAAAAAGGACCATAAATGACATTATTTGTGCAATTTGTGGAGATAAAAATTCTATTAACCATTATGCTACGTCTACATAAAAAACGCTAGCGTTTTGCGGAAAACGCTGGCGGAAAAAACGCTGGCGGAAAACGCTAAAAAGTGTCTACATAAAAACAGCGTTTTCTGCCTAGCGGAAAAACGCATTGCGGAAAACGCTGTTTTTATGTAGACACACATCAGCGTTTTCCGCCGGCGTTTT